AAAAAAAAAGCTTGTGATATAATATAAAACTTGTGATATAAGAAAGGCATCTGGAGGGGAGAACAGAATGGAAAGTTACAAGCTGTTAACACCAGAGTGTAAAAATTCACAGCTCTTTGAGAAACAGAAGGTGAGAAGAAAGGCCCTTCACCCCCACCTGATCAATGGAGATAAACAGTGTACTTGCCATATGGTACTTGATCCCAGGGGACTTTCTTACCACAGAGCACAAAGAGAGGTAAGGACAAGAAAAGGTAGATTTCTTTAAATTACTCAATAGGAGACAGTAAAACCTAGGCGACATTCCAGAAGATTGTGTACTCCATGGTACTCAACCAATGAGGAACTGGGAAAGCAATCTTGTGCTGTAGGAAATAAAACACTGGTTGTACCCAATCTGAGGATCTCTGACATCCAGGCACCTGATCTTGAAAGACCAGCATTGAAGTAAAGCCTGGCTTTTGCTGTAACTTCTGTCTTTTAACCCATTCTTTGGGCTTGAACAGGTGAGTGTGTTTCTCACAATGGGAACCACCAAATCAAAATTTTCTTAGGAGAAAACCTGCAGGTCAGTAGGAAGGGGGAGGAGATTTAAAATACTAGATGGAAAACAAACAGGGGTTGGGGATGTGGCTCAAGTGGTAGTGCACTCTCCTGGCATGCGTGAGGCACTGGGTTCGATCCTCAGCACCACATAAAAAAATAAAGATATTGTGTCCACCTAAAAAAACTAAAAAGTAAATATTAAAAAAAGAAAACAAACAAACAAACAAACAAAAGATCCTGCCAACTAAGAAGACTATATGGGCAAAATCACCCTTCAAATACTGAAAACCGGTAAAGAAACAAAAGCTATGGGAGTTTTATTACCCCTCCATGTGACTAAAAGATGTTTTTTCAAGTTCAAATGGCCCTGATTTAAAACATGAAAACATACTAACTAACTATAAAGGCAAGTATATCATCAAAATCCCATTGTTCTAATACTATATTGGTGGTGAGTGAATAACTTTTTATTTTAATATAAATGTTAAGGATCAGAGTAACATCAACAAGATGGAAGAAGAGAAGTTCTTTGGTTCCATTCTCTTCTAAAAAACCCAGCTAGCAAATATCCACAGTCAAGAATGCCCCTGTGAATATCCCAGAACTCAGGGGTGACAGACACACCCTCTTCATTGCAGAGCTGAGAAAAGACATGGAAAGAGGAAGGTTCTCTGACCACATCAGCCCTCCCCCAAGCCAATGTAGTACCACAGATGGACAATTCCCGTGGACCAGCGGTTTCTACAGTGGGAGTGAGTTGGAAGGAGGCATTCGGCTTCCTCACCATTCCAGGACCCATCACAGGAAGCTCAATCCTGTCTCATTTGAAGTGAGACTGAATGAAACTAAGAAGCTTCTGCATAGCAAGAAAACCAACAGAAGAAAAAGGTAACATCTGGAAGGGAAAGAATATTTCTAAGCCATATAAGGGCTGTGGGAATAGAAAAAAATCAAATAATCTGATGTTTTAAAAATGAGCAAGCCCAGTGTCACACGTCTATAATTGAGGGAGGAGGATCATGTGTTCAAAGCCAGCCTCAGCAAAAGCAAGATGCTAAGCAACTCTGTGAGACTCTATCTCTTAATAAAATACAAAATAGGGGTGGGGATGTGGCTCAGGGTCACTTGAGAGCTCCTGAGTTCAATTCCTGTTTGTTGTTTTTTTGTGTTTTTTTTTAAAGGGCAAGGAATCTGAATATGCATTTCTTAAAAGAAAATGTACAAATGGCCAGCAAGTATATGAAAAAAAAGCTTGGGCATAATTAACTATCAGGGAAATACAAACAAGAATTACAATGAGATACCATCTCACAAGAAAAGTAAAAAAAATGGAGTAATAAATCAATTATGGAGAATTAAGAAATTTGGACTTTATTTTGAGAATAATGACACCACTGTTTTTATATTTTCATTTTATTATATTTTTTTAAGTACTGAGGCTTGAACCCAGGGGGACACTTTGCCATTTTGCTACATCCCCACTCCTTTTTATTTTTAGACAGGATCACTAAGGCTGGCCTTGAACTAATGATGCTCCTACCTCATCATCCTGAATCACTGAGTTGGCAGGCGTGCTCTTCTGGGACCAGGTCTGTTGATGGCTTTTGAGCAGGCAAATAAATAAGTTCAAAGCTACATTTCAAGAGTTATTAGGGAGTGAGGTAGATTGAGTAAGAGGTAATAAAGGGTCTAAATTATTTTTTCCTAAAAATGTCGAAGTGAGGACATTTTTATTCATTTTCATCAGATTCGTACAGAAACAAGTGTTCCTAGGGTATGCATTGCTGATGTCCTCAGTATTTTATACCACTTGGTCTGAGCATTTATTACCACCTAGTGTTTTAGTCATACTACATAAACCTTGAATTACATAAGGTAAAAATGGAAGGGACACTAATTAATAAAACTAAATACTTTTTGCATGTATGAATATGCCACAATGCACCACCACCAAAAACAAAAAGTTCATAGTTTACATTAGAGTTTATTCTTGTGTTGTTTATTATATGGGTTTTGATAAATGTGTAATGGCATGTATCCACAGTATAGCACCATACAGAATAGTTTCACAGACCTAAAATCCTCTGTGCAAGGCCTATCATCCTTCCCTCATCAAAGCACTTGGTTCTAATTTAACTTCCCCACCCTCATTGTCATTGTCTGACACAAAGGCATCCTAATCCCAGAACAAAAGACAAATGACAAAAATAAATATTTTGGTAGTGAGGGTTAGCAAGGAAAAATTAGGGGTGGTGGGTTATAAGGGAATCTATTCCTGAATTGGTTTTTAAAGTAAGGAAAACAGAATATGAACAGAGTATGTTATACAGGACATTTGTATAGAGAGAAAAGAAGAAATTGGGTTTGTTAACAGTAATGACCAGAAGCAATCAAAGCAATAAAAATAAAACAGTTGTTACATAAAAAATGAAGTAAATACTTTTCTCATGCTGAGAAGCCATTCAAGTAATTTAAATATTAATACTTCTTCTACTTACCTTTCATATCTAAAGAATCCTATCATGCTAAGTGCTTTTTCTAAATCCTATAAATTTTCATTTAATACCTACAATGTTTGTAACTCAACATTTTCTTGCCAGGCATGTAATACATACCTATAATCCCAGGGACTTACACAGGAGGATTGCAAGTTCAAAGCCAGCCTCAGCAATTTATCAAGGCCCCAAGCAACTTAGCGAGACCCTGTCTCTAAATAAAATATAAAATAAATAAAACATAGTAAAAGGGGGACTGGGGATGTGGCTCAGTGATTAAGCACCCCCTGGGTTCAATCCCTGCTATTAAAAAAAAATCTTTTTTTTTTAAGTTCTGTATCCTTCAGTATATGGAACAACAGAGATTATGAATAATTTCTCAACTTCATGTCGGAACATTTGGAAATGTATTGTGTGTCTCATTTTTCCTCAAACTATGTCTTCTGGAAGTTTCTAGGTTCTGTATTCCAAATGGTCATGCTCTTTGTAAGTCAATGGTACCTTAAAGAAGTTTCCCATCTCTACTGGTTTCTCAAAGAATGTGTAATCATTAGATTCTTAAAGACCCACTGGCTTAGAAGAGAAGTTTTTCCCTAATGCTACAGAGGCCAAGTCCCAAGAGAATAGGAGATAAAGAAAGCACATTCTTAATTTTTGTGCAGCAGTAAAAGTCATTATCTAGTGATTATAAAAGAAGTCATTTTAAGATTTAGGTCATATAAAAACTGTGATGGCTTCATTTTGGGGGTACTGCTAAAGGTTGTGACACCTCTAAATTATTCTCCTCTTATTCCATAATTTCTTAAAATTGATTTATGAATGCTTCTGGTTTAAAAAGAGATACCTATATTGAAGAGACGAATAAATATACCTTTCTCTTCAGGACTTCCCTGAGCATCAGTGTGCAGACAAGGCTGGAAGGAAAAACTCTTGAAAATTTTCTTTTGCCTAAAATATAAGCCCTAACAACTTTCAGGACTCATATCCCTGTATATTTTTTAAAGTTTTTATTTTCATGTAACAAATCCCTGACATCTTTCTCATAAAATGTGGGATGAAGGAAATTTATGACAAAAGAAAATATTTGACTTATTTATTTGAAATTTTTAGTTTTACACAGGCATATGAGAAAAATCAACCCCAATATTCTATGAGGGGAAAGAAAATACTTTAAAAAAGGAAGTTCCATGCTTGGATCTTATTTTTCAAACTTCTGCACATATTGACCAAATAAATATAACATTGCTGTGTTAATATAGGAAATCTATCAGCCTATGAAACAAAGTGAAAGATCAGGCAAAAGCTTACAGACTCTCTTTCTTCAGAAGATCTTGCAACATTACAATTTCAAAAGTCAGTATTGGTGAGTAACTTTATAAAATTGCAGTTTTATGGTGCTCAAGCTAATAGCAACCATGGAAATTCAGGAATAATGGCTTTAAGGTGATTTCTACTCACTTACTATAAAATATGTTTATTTCTGCATATTTAAATAAAGTTAAGTAATATATTTAACTGAACTATAAATATTATACTATAAGTAGGATTTGGGCTAAGAAACAAATACTTTTATTAAGGGTCAATTTTTGTGTTACATGTTTGCCAGAAACTATACAGATCATTCCTGATCCAAAATAACAGACTTACAAAATGAGTTTAATTTTATCTAGTTCAATTGTGGTCATATAGGAAGAAATTTAGAACAGGCAAACATTTGTTTTTGTGTGGAAAATTGGTATTTTTTAAAAAATCAGTGTATACAACGAAGAAAAAAAAATTAAAGTATGATATATTTTGACAATTCTTTTAAAAAATGATCCATGTCTGTTTTTGTCTCTTTACTCATTAAAAAGAGACACATTTTAAACTATTAGTAATATGTCTCTTGACCTTGCAGGATACCGATCTAATGAATATCTCCGAGCTAGAGTCCAACTTTGCTTCTGTAAGAGAATTTATACTCCAAGGTTTCTCTTGTGAGTGGAGGATTCAGATCTTCCTCTTCTCTCTCTTCACTACAACCTACGTGTTCACCATAACTGGGAATGGGACCATTGTTTGTGCACTGTTGTGTGACAAGCGACTTCACACTCCCATGTACATGTTCCTGGGGAATTTCTCCTTTCTAGAGATCTGGTATGTCTCTTCTACAGTCCCCAAGATGTTGGTCAACTTCCTGTCGGAGAAAAAAACCATCTCCTTTGCTGGGTGCTTCCTCCAGTTCTATTTCTTTTTCTCATTGGGTACATCGGAATGCTTGCTTTTGACTGTCATGGCCTTTGATCGATATCTAGCTATCTGCCGTCCCCTGCACTACCCTAATATCATGACTGGGAATTCCTGTATCAAACTGGTCATTATCTGCTGGATTTGTGGGTTTCTGTGGTTCTTAATTCCCATTGCCCTCATCTCTCAAATGCCTTTCTGTGGACCAAACACTATTGACCATGTTGTGTGTGATCCAGGGCCACTCTTTGCGTTAGCGTGTGCCACAGCCCCAGGAACTCAAATGCTGTGCTACACTTTAAGCTCATTAGTTATCTTTGGTAACTTTTTCTTTATTCTTGGGTCCTATACTCTGGTCCTGATAGCTGTGCTACGTATGCCTTCAGCCTCTGGAAGACATAAAGCCTTCTCCACCTGTGGGTCTCACTTGGCCGTGGTATCGCTGTTCTATGGTTCTCTGATGGTCATGTACGTGAGCCCAGGACTGGGACATTCTGCTGGGATGCAGAAAGTTGCAACATTGTTTTATGCTATGGTGACCCCACTATTTAACCCCCTCATCTACAGCCTCCGAAATAAGGAAATAAAGGCAGCCATGAGGAAAATTATGGGGATTCCTAACATAATCTGAGGTCTATTGGATGGTTTCTGTATGATCAGGTCAGTATAGTCAAACAAGATGCATTAAGAATTATATAGTTTTCCACATCTACAAATGTGAATAGTGATATTTACTATATTAGCTATGAAATTAAACATCTGTAGGCCTCTTTGTAGAATTAGAGTGGCCAGATTACATAGATAAATGGATGCCTGTAGCTTCTTGTTGGAACTCGTGTGTATTAACTGAGGAAGGTACATGTTGGGTGTTTTCTGGATAGTTTTCATATGATTTATATATAAAAAACTTCTGTTCTATTTGATGATATAAATTTATAGTTATGAGATAAATAAAATTATAAGTATGTCATTTGGTTTGTTTTGTTAGTTGATTATAAACAAAAGGAGGAAAATATAATTTCTTGATTGTGGTTCTTACCCTATGTGCCTTTATTATATGGTCATTCCTGATAAATAAGCCCTTGAATGATTTATTAAAATTTTGGGGGGACAATAAAATATTCTAGCCTAATGATATCTAAATGTATGCTGTTTTATTTATATATTACCTTTTTCTAAGCCTCTAAGGAGAAGCTTCTAATTTTATGTACAGCAACATCAGTTGGAATTATTAGAAATACAGTGTCCTGGGCACTTAATTTTTTACCTAAATGAGGAATCACCAAAAACTTCATGGGTCCTTTGAGTTTTAGATAATAGAATATTTTCTCCTAAGTATCAAACAGGGAAATTACTTACTTGGGAATAAATTGCAAGAGCTCAAAAAAAAAGAACAATCAATGGTAAGGGGTGGTGAAAACAAGAAAAAAAAATTAAGAAAAACTTTTAAATGATAAAAACATCCAGAATTCAATCTAATGTAGTTATTTTTATTTATATGTGTTTTGTTTAATATAATGTGGAATTTGTTTCCATATTATAGCAAATTTTATAGTTATTGCTTTTAGTAATCATAATATTCCACTGAGCAAATATGATATGGGTTGTGAATTTTTATGTGGTGAGGTGAACATTTTCCTAGAAGGAGGGCTTTACTTCCAAGGAACTAAGAATTCTTTTTTAAAGGAGTAAGAAAAGTTATATTTAGGAGGAGAAATGTAAGAAAAATGAATACCACCACCACAAAATAATCTCTTATAGAATTAGTACAGGTTACTGAACACTCCAATATCCTCTTTCCATTTACTACCAATTCTCCTTTTGGACATTATAGTTACCCCTATTTTTTGGTTATAAAATAATATCTCAATCAAATCTTCATAAAGATTTGCCATGAAAATATTTTGCCAACTTAAGATTCATTGTCTAACTCAAAACAGAACTGTCCCAGAAAATTCAGGATATGGGAATATTACATGCATCTAGCAATTCTATTTTTAGGGCTTTTTTGTCTTAAAACAGTGTCTTGAAAAAGAGATGATTATTCAATTCAAAAGGCAGGAATGCATTTGTAAATTTTGGCATGAACATTTCAGAAGGAAAAATATTTGCTCCTTTGATATAAGAAGTTGTCAAACTCCTCATTCAATCTTACTACAGAAACTGACATATAATTCTCACTTATACAGCCCCATGGTGTGTTTCCTATTTCTACATCCCTTTCCAGGGAATGTGATTATTTAATTTCCTGAGCTTGATCAGAAAAGACCTCAAGAAGAACGACTGGCAATATTTCCACTATAATATCACAATTCCTTGACTTTGATCACTAAGTTAATAACTTTATGCAGCCACTAGCTTTTCAACAATTTTGTCTTATAATTCCAAATATTATGATTGGTTCACAGTACTTTCCATAATGCTAAATTATTTACACTACAAATTAACATACTGTATTTTTTTCAAATCCAAACTATATCGTTGAGAGAGAAAGAGGGGAAGAGAAAAAGAGTATTAGGGATGGCAATAAAAAGGATAGAAGTTTTTTCCCCCTCAGCTTTTAGACTTTCAAAAGAGCACAATAGGGTAACATTTAAAAATAACTGTGCTGGTTAGTGGTTTCCTCAATGAAAATGAAAATAGACAGTCAGAATTTTTTACTTTTAAATATGAATCATGAAGTTTATTAGCTGCAACCACACTCTCTACCACTAAAGAAGGAAAGGGCCAGAACTTTGGAATTAGGTAGGTTGATTTCAAATCTAAATTATTTGGCTTTTTTGCCTTGAATTGTTTAATCAAAAAAAATAGAGCTAATAATAATATGTCAGAGAGTGGCTGAGATGAATAAATGAGATGAATCAGAATACCATATTATACATATTGTGTATGGAATCAATTTCAATTAACATTATTCATGTCTTTCATTTTAAAACCCTTTGCATTTATAAAACACTTTCACATAGATGCTCAGTTAAATTTTGCAGTTTCTGTCACTTAAGTAGGGTAGATATTTCCATACTTATTTTATAAATGAGACTCAAAGAAAGTAAATACATTGTCGAAGGTCATGTTCAGTAAGTGAAGGAATTAGTTCTGACTAGGAGTTCAGTCACCTTTCTGCTGTACCATGTGTCCACTCCTGGGAACTATGGCTGAGTCCTCTGTGTCTGCCTTCAGCACGATGTGGCCATGCTGACCAAAGAGCAGGATTTGTGAAGGACAAATGAGTGTAGGATAACACAAAGGAATTTCTTCTCAGCTATTTTGGGAGAAAAACTACACAAATTATATGAAAATACATGAAAATATTTAATATGTAAAATATGTATTGAGTGAAAAAGGAAGACCATAAAACGTTATTATATAATTTTACATAGAGTCAGGATGTGGGTAACTTAGATTGTTTATTTCCTCTTTTATGTTAACATCTGTCTAAATTTTCCATGATAAAAATGTATGTTACTTCTAATTTGGGTGTGGAACTTAGAAAACTAATGTCTAGGAATGAATACATAACTTCGAGCAATGCTGTTAGACACCACCTACCTAAGCTTCCCTGCTACTCTGTGCATAAGAAATGAATACTGCTGCAGCTAGGATAACCTTTATAATGGTATCTTTGCAGAGCTTCTCAGAGACTTTTCCATGTGGGCATTTTGTAGAGAAGTGGACATTTAGGACCCTGGTAACTGTATTTCTCTCAGAAGCAGCTCTTTACGTACAGGGATAAGGGATCTGTAGCTGCAAACTCTGACTTTGCAATTTTCCTTCTTAATGCTTGGAAGAGAAGTAAAGAAAAACAATGGAGGGAAATGCCATGCAGTCACATGAATCGCTAATGAACCTTCCCAAACAGGAATGTTTTCCCCAGGAACTTCTATCTGTATCTGTCTCTGCCCTGAGCCCCCTGCTTATCACTAGCATAAGCACCAGTTTTCATTAAAAGTTTAAATAAAAATATGCTTTGTATACCTACCCACTATATATCTGTGTTTTTTTATAACAATGTATCTTAAATCCTCACCCCTTTCAAATAAGTCATTTATTTGTCAAAATATACATTTAATCATTTTAATAAAAGCAGATCCATTTTTTTAATGAAAATTCAACCATCTCCAAAGAAGAATCCAGGATTTAAGGAACTGTATTACTTAATAAAAAGTAATTATTGTGGAATAATACTAACTTTTTATTAAGTAATAATTATTAAGAAATAAATGATAACTTTTGATCAAATATTGCAGCTACTCCACTTATTACCCACCAAAGTGTTAGAAACAAAAAGGAAACTCAGCTTCTATCCAACGACTCAGAATTATCATGTGTATTAAGCTTAGATTGAGCTACCTAGAATAGAAGCTCAAGTAACAAGACATAGTGGTTAGATGTCTGGTTTCTCCCCCCTCACCTCTGTCTTATTAATACTTCTAAGAGGTCTATGGCAACCTGGAGATAGCAGTTCTAAGACATCATTGGGCACCCTGGCTCTTCTGCAGTTTTCAGGAATCCTTCTTAATATATATTTCCTTTCTCAAGGCCACCTTATTATCTGAAGATGACAGTAAAAGCTTCAGTCAGCAAAAAGAGGCAAACCTATGACCTACTTGTGTTATTGCTTTCACATAAGTGTGTCAACTAACGACTCCTAAAAACAAGAGAGGCTGCACCATTTAATTTTTTAAACTAGGCACATTGTTATCAGAATAAAATTGAGGTTGTATTAGGCACAAAATAAGAAATATAATGATAAAAATTTAGAAGTGGCCCCTTTTCTTAGAAGTCTTACTTTAGGAGGTTGATATTACTTACATAAATCTTTTTTTTAATTTTTTAAGTTGTAGATGGACAAATACCTTTATTTTGTTGCTTTTATTTTTATGTGGTGCTGAAGAATGGAACCCAGTGCCTCACATGTGTGAGGCAAGCACTCTATCACGGAGCTACAACCCCAGCCCCACATAAATCTTCATATACAAATAAACAGCAGGATAAACAAATTTAATAGGAAAGATTCCAAAGACAAAATTTTAATCAGAAAAAAAAATCACTCTGGAGTTTAGGATTTTGTAGTAAAAACTCATAAATATGTGTAGAAAACTAAACTAACTTTGTTTCCTAATTTTCAATAGAACAAAAATCCTTCACATGGTATTTGAAAACTGCTTGAAATAAGAGATGAGAAAACTACTCAAATATCTATAAAATCAAACTTGCAACAGACGTTGTTATTATAAGAGCAGAAGCAAAATAATATCAAAATTTTTTTCACTCAAATCAAAGGAGATATGAATCTAAATCTGGGGGTCTTTCTTGTATTGGGATATTAAATAATCAACACCTAGTTATGATTTTATGACTTTCTTCCCAGAAATTTCCCCAAGACTCAAATATTCTGGAAAAGAAGATCCTACCATTTGGAGAGAAATCAGCCTTTCCCTTCCCTTCTTTTACTCTGCACTTCCAACCTCAGTGGCAAAGTCAAGTTCCCTTCCAATAACGTTATGTGTCCCTCTTTAATCCTCCTGCTTTAAATCTTGCTGGGGAGTGATATTGGCCGAATTATATTGTGTACATGTATGAATATGTAACAAATTCCATCATATAAGGCACCAATAAAAATTGTGGAAAAGAAAAGACTATTAGGAGCATGGGTGGGGAAGTTAGAGATAATGGAGTTGGTAGGTCACTGTTATATCAAGGAGGAAAGCTCTCCTGGAAAATGAAAGAAGACTTGTCCTTTCTCATTTCAGGAGGATATGATACAAAATGAGAACTGAAATCTCCAAACAGAAGAGGAAAACGTGAAATAGAAAAGGTCATGAGAAGAGAAAAGGAAGAGAAAATGATACAGTATGAGAGAAGTCAAGAGGTTCACAAAGCAATCATCTCTCTCTATCTGGAACTTCCCACCCTCTAGCTATTAACAGGAGTGTCATACTGATGTGTGACCCAACAGAGGCCCTTGTGGAGAAAAGAATTACAAGAGAAGAGGCCTTTTCTCCTTTGCTGCAGGAGAAGATGAGAAAGAATCCTTCCTGAGGAATTTCAGCTCCTTGTTTCTGCTGACCACAATTTCCTGTGCTCAGAGATAAACTTGCTACTGCCCTTGTGCCAGGTGAGTTCTGTGGATAAGATAGAAGAGCAATTGGTAGAACTGACAGGGAAGAAAGAGATTAGTCCCTAAAGGAAAAACTTGTCTCTCTTTTGGGGAAGCCAGCAGCAGGAGGTAGGCAGGGCCCAGGAAAGCTTAAGGGGAATGTTTGGGAAAAGTTTTGCTACAATTTAAC